GTGGGGGGGGGGGGGAAAAAGAAAAGTGAGATTATAGGTTGAGAGAGGGGGGTCTACATACTTACAACTTGCATAGGCAGTCTGTCGAATGAAACGTTTTGTTGAGAGAGTTGTTGTTTGGCCGAGACTACATTGGTGCGTCTGTCTCTACGTGCATAGGTACATAGATACGTGAGAGAGATGAAGTATTCGATAATAATAGGTGCGTACACATACATATATATATAATTTTCATTGGACTCGGTGTACTAGTTTTTGTTAATTGATTTGTTCGAAACGGTGTGTAAATTACAGGAATAGTTGTTTGCGGTGTCCATGGTATCGTTGATGCGACTACAACTCGAAAGGCTTTCGAGGACGCGAAAATTATGCCGGATATAATAGAGACTGCACCGGAGGAGAAGATCGAGGTGTGTGTGAGATTATGGAAGGAACGGAATAAATGGACATAGGGAGGTGATCGGTTGCGTTGCACGGATTTTGATTTTTAGGTCAAGTACGGAGACAAAGTGGTCGAGTTGGGAAACGAGTTGACTCCGAGCGAGACGCATCAGATCCCAGAGATTCATTACAAGCACGAAGGAGGAGTGTTGTACACGCTAGTATTGACAGGTAAGCGGTGATTTCAGCCTATTATGGAAAAGAACGCGACCTTCCGTCGCGCTACTCGTGCAAGTAGCCGCGAGTTGACTTTCACCGAGTTGACGCGAACGTAAAACCTGTTTGTTGGTTGCCGTGGCGAAGCGTGTGGTCGAGATACTTGGTAAAAAATGATTAGGCTGGTGTGCGTTGTTCGGTTGTAGATCCGGACGCGCCGACCAGAAAGGGATACAATCGAGAATTTCGGCATTGGCTGGTGGGAAATATCCCCGAAGAGAATATCGAGAAAGGAGAGGTGCTGACGGAGTACATCGGTCCGGCGCCTCCGAACGGTAGCGGGAAACATCGGTACGTGTTTCTCATTTACAAACAGAGTCGAGGGGCGATCACTTTCGACGAGAGAAGATTGAGCACCAGGTAAAGAGTCGTACGTTGGCTGGTTGGTTGGTTTGCTACATGTATTTTCTGTTTTCTCACAAATTTCAGGGACGGTTCACTACGGAAGCGATTCAACATAAAGAAGTTTGCGGAAAAATACAGTCTGGATGGTCCTATAGCTGGAAACTTTATGAAGGCGGAATACGACGATAACGTTCCCATTTACGCGAAGCAATCAGGGCTTTAAGGAATCGTTTTATTTATTCTTTTTTCCTCTCTCTGTTTTTTCTTTTGTTAGCATCGGTG